TGCTGAAATTTATCCTAGCCGTATCGATATAAAAGACTTGGAAGCGGTCGTGCAAGCATTCTCTGGCGATGATAATTTGCCCGTTCGTTTATGGATTGTCGAATTTGAGACTGCTTGTAGCATGCTTGGAGTGCCAGATGAACGTTTGTGGATCTATGCAAAGCGTTTATTGAGTGGATCGGCAAAGGAATATTTCCTCCATCAAGGAGCCATACCGTGGGGCGATTTACGTAAGCAGCTTATGGATGTATTTGGGGAGGAGTGCACGCGCTTGGAGATTGGCGAGCAGTTAAAAAAATGCAAGCAAGCTAAAGACGAATCGGCTTTTCATTATTTTATAAGAATGTGCAGTATTGCGCGTCAAGCCGATTTGGAAGATTGCGACGTCATCAAACACATTGTGTGTGGCTTGCGCGATGGAGTTGGTATTACGTCATCGTTGTTCTTTTGTCAGACCCTAAAAGAGCTACGTCAGAAAGTGATCCAGCTCGACAAAATCCGGCCGTTGGTGTTATTGAACGAAGCAGGCTCTACGAATAAAGCTACAGTACGTGAAGTCCGCTGCTACAACTGCCGTCAGATGGGTCACATATCGACTGAGTGTAAGAAGCCGAAACGTCCAATCGATGGATGTTTCACTTGCGGGGAGAGAGGCCATCAGCATCGGGACTGCCCGAAACGCCGTATGAAAGATACAGTTGCCGCTACTGCAGAGCTGGTAAAGGAAGAAGACGATGTGGCAGCCATACAATTAGTGAGTTTTTGTTTGTTAAGTAGTAAATGTGGATGCACAGATTCTACAACAATTCTTTCTCTTTTTGATACTGGCAGCCCAGTTAGTTTTATATATAAATCCGTAGTACCAAATGATTTTGTATTGGAAAATCCATTTATGAAGAAATATCATGGACTGGGAGGAACCCAACTTTCTGTTTGCGGACAAGTGAAATCCCGTATTAAATTTAATGGAAAATATTATGAAATTTTACTTTTAGTTATAGATAATGGTAGACTACCAACACAGTTAGTGCTTGGGAGAGATGCCCTCAGTATCCTCCAAGTTCGATTAATACAAAACAATGTTAAAGCTGTAAATCAGAATGTCATTAAATGTGAATATAAATCCTTCTGTGCATCCCTGTTTAAGAACATATCTAAAAATAATGTAGCCTGTAACAATTCAGTAATTAAGTTTGTAAAAAACAGTTATTTGTATAACCGTTGGTTGTTGGAGCTGCATGATGTATGTGCCGGAGTGGCGGCAATAGTGGACGAAAAGGTTGATGTTGGCTGCGAATTTGGTTTGAATAGAGCTGAACAGTGTAGAGATCTTATTTATAATAATTATATAAATTCTTGGAGTAATACAATGATTGAACCGATAGGAAAAATAAGCATCCGATTAACTAATAGTACCCCTTTTAGCTTTGGTCCGAGACGACTTTCATTTTATGAGAAGGGCAAAGTTTCAGAAATAATTGAGGAATTAATGGCATTAGGAGTAATTAGACCAAGTAATTCACCGTATGCATCTCCAATTGTACTCGTTAAAAAGAAATCCGGTGAAATACGTATGTGCGTTGATTATAGATGCTTAAATAAGCTAACAGTTCGTGATAATTTTCCTCTGCCGTTAATTGAGGACTGCCTAGAATATTTGGAAGGAAAGACATACTTTTCGGTGATTGACCTCAAAAGCGGATTTCACCAAATAGGAGTAAATGAAGATTCAATTAAGTATACAGCCTTTGTAACTCCACAGGGACAGTATGAGTATCTCAGAATGCCGTTTGGATTAAAAAATGGCCCCTCAGTTTTTCAAAGATTCATTTCAAACACTTTAAATGATTTAGTTCGAAACAATAAAATTGTGGTCTTTATGGATGATATTGTAGTGGCAACAACAAGTATAGCAGAACACTTTGATACACTGACTAAATTGCTTCGCCGGTTGAGTGAAAACAGATTAGAAATTAACTTTAAAAAGAGTAAATTTTTTAGGAAAACCATCGACTACTTAGGCTATAGTGTGAGCAGAAGTGGAGTCTTGCCGAACGACACCCATATACAAGCAATAAAAAATTATCCAATACCAACAAATGTACGAGAGTTGCACTCTTGTATAGGGTTGTTTTCATACTTTCGCCGTTTCGTCCAATCATTTGCAAGTATTTGTAAACCGCTAGTAGAATTATTAAAAAATAAGGGACCTTTTCCAATGCAGGGAACAGAAATGGCAGCATTTGAAAAATTAAAGGCTCTTTTGTCCACACCGCCAGTTCTTGCAATTTACAGCCCGAAACGGGAAACTGAACTTCATACGGATGCAAGTTCAAGAGGCTTTGGTGCGATATTGTTTCAGAAGCAGGATGATAATAGAATGCACCCAGTATATTTCTATTCTCTTAAGGCATCTGCAGATGAAGCACGAATGACCAGTTTTAAGCTTGAAACCTTAGCAATAATATATGCATTAAGGCGTTTCCGAGTTTATCTTGAACATAGACCGTTTAAAATTGTAACAGATTGTAACGCACTGGCCTGTACCCTAGAAAAAAAGGAGGTGAACCCACAAATAGGCCGATGGGTACTCGAATTACAAAACTACCCGATAGAATGTCTAGTACATCGGCCAGGAAGTAGTATGCCACATGTTGATGCCTTGAGTAGGCAGACTCAGTTTATTATAAACGATGATGAAAGATTGCCAGTAGAACCGTGTGTTTTGCCAAGTCAGGTAGATACCAAGCCTGGCCCCATGAATATTAGTAAGTCAGGTGTAGAGCTATTAAATGTTATTCAAAGTTTTGGAAGACATGTTGTCGAGCAGATAGAGGAAGGTAACCCGCTTGATAACCGGATAGAAAACCCGTTGGATAAACCGTTAGATAGGCCGGGGCAAAGTTTCGCGGTCAGTAATAGTGAAGAGAAGAATCCGTTAGAAAATAGCAATAATGAAATCGTTCATGGTACATATCCGTTAAAATGCGTAGATTCAGAGTGTGTTGGTGTAGTCGGTGCGAGTTCAGAGGATATGGATCTATTATTACAAACTGAGCAGATGAGAGACAAGGCTATTAATGAGTTAAGAGAAGAGTTAGAGAATCACCCTGTTGATAGTTATGCATTAATAGATGGAGCAGTTTATCGTGTAAACGCAAGTAATGAATTAGCGCTTTACGTTCCGTTAAGTATGCAGGAGCAGTTAATTAGAATGAGCCATGAGAAACTTGGACATTTAGCCGCCGAAAAATGCTATAACGATATGAAATCAAAGTACTGGTTCCCATTAATGAGGAGTAAAATAGAAGAGTTTGTAAGGAATTGTTTACGATGTATATTGCATTCTGTCCCGAAGACAGTAAACAACCGAACACTACACAGTATCCCAAAAGCACCTGTCCCTTTCGATACGATACATATAGACCATTTAGGCCCACTTCCTAGTATTAAATCAAAGCAAAAACACTTGTTGGTGGTGATAGACGCATTTACCAAATTCGTAAAATTATATCCAGTAAACTCGACGAGTACAAAGGAAGTTAACGCTTGTTTGAAAAAATACTTCGACTATTACAGTCGCCCCCGCCGAATAATTTCAGACCGCGGAAGTTGTTTCACGTCAATGGCTTTTACTGAGTTTTTGTCTGAACGAAATATTGGACATATTAAGGTAGCAACTGCTGCTCCTCAAGCAAATGGGCAGGTAGAACGGGTAAACCGCGTAATAACGCCTATGTTGGGAAAGTTGTCAAATCCGTTAAATCAAGAAGATTGGTACAAGTTAGTTAATAGGGTGGAATTCGCCATTAACAATTCGGTTCATAGCAGTACAAATAAAACCCCTAGTTTACTTTTATTCGGAGTTAATCAGAGAGGCGCCATGATAGATGATTTATCGGAATATCTAGAGGAAAAATTTACTACAAATAATCAAAATAATCTCGAAGAAATAAGACAAGAAGCTAGTCGAAAAATAACGCAGTCACAGGTTAGGAACGAAAAAATTAGTGTATTGAAAAACAAGCCGCCGTTAAGTTATAAGTGTGGAGATTACGTAGCCATTCGTAACGTTGATGTAACTACAGGCACATGCAAAAAGTTCGCTCCAAAGTACCGCGGGCCATATAAGATAAGCCGTGTTTTTGAAAATGATAGATATGAAGTTACTGATATAGATAATTGTCAATTAACACAAATACCATATAAAGGAATTTTAGAACCGGCCAGATTAAAACCTTGGACACAAATATTAAATAAGACAATTTCTGTATGTTTTTGACCGAGATCGAGGTCGATCTGTTTGTCAGGTTGGCCGAGTTGTAAACAAAGTGGCAGTTACTAGTTCTCTCATTTGTACTAATGACCTAGTTCGTAGATCTAGCTCGTAAGATGAACTACGATAACTGCGTTATCGATATCAATCAATTACTATATACTCAGTTGTGCTTGTGTGGTCGCCAGAGGCGGACAGCAAACGGAGTTCATTTAGAAATACCTAACAGTGAATGTATAAATGTATATATTAAACAACATTGTAAAATAAGCACACAATTAATAAACTATATTACACTATATTACAATAATTAACTTGTTCCTTCGTTTGTAGAGAGTACTGGATACTTGATAATAACTGGGACACAATTGTTTATATCCAGCCTCCGTAGCCTCTAATTTTCAATACTCAGCAAAAGAAGTCAGATGTGCTTGTCTTTTCATGCCGGCGAACGGCTGTGAAGTGTAGATGTGTGTGTGAGTGTGGGATTAGCGATTCTGTAACTAGACAGGTAAACCGCGATTTTAGGGGGGAGTTAGTGCGGTGCTGGGCTGCGGGCTGCGATTGTAGCATAACTGGTTCTTTGGAACTAACTAGACTTTGTATAGATTTCTTTCATCGTTTTTTTTTCACCCGACAGTTGACGTATGTATGTATGTATGTTGTTGTTCACTCCGTTTAAGCAAAAAAAAGTTAATTTAGTAAAAACTTGTTTGTTACTTACCCAGTAAACAATTAAGAGGTGTACTTTTCAAGATACTTAAATATTGTACGTTATTACAAATATTGAACTAAATTTTGCCGCACTTCTTGTAACAGATTTTCACAGTTTTTTGAATGCGTATTCAATACTACGCTATTAATATACACATAGAAAACGTAAACCAAATTTAGGCAATTCTGGCCATGGCAACAACAAAGAAGCGTTGCAATATAAAGCATCTATTTAGGTACATACTCATATGCATACATCCATACATGTGTATATACTTGTAGCGGCCACAAGATCAACAAATCTTTGCGAACTCAGAACACTAGAAATTGCAATCTTTAACGGATCCGACCATCGTTTAACAAAGCAAACGAATTTTTATTTTCTTCAATTGCTATTAATTTTATTCAATACAACTTTCAATTAACCAGCGATATTTTTCTTCAAGAGGTTTTCTCACTTCTCGCACCATATGTACATAGATAAATAAGTACATATGTATATACCTCAAATGCACTCACTTTTAGACTTTATTTCATGTCTTAATAAAAATGTAATATTAACCTGTTTTCATGAATTATTCACTTTACTGTTGAATCAGCATTAAAGCATATACACTGTGACGTGTTTTAGCACAACACTTACAAACTAAAACAATCTTATGTCGCGTTGCAATTGTTTTGTTAACCACGCAAAGGCCAGAAAAATACTAAAGTGAGAAATAACAAAGTGCCAACTTGGCAACAAAGAAGTAAACACAAGTTGATCCGGCAACTACATTTTGCAATAGGTGGACAGCACCTAGATTTGTATGGTCACACTACATTCGCTTTTCCCACAATTCAACTCTATTCAACGTTTTTATATCGAATAATATAATATTTAATATTTCGGCTATCGTTTATTCTGATTTATTAAAATTTGTCCAAAAACTTGCAATTTTTTGATATCACATCATATCTGGTAATATGTCCAAGCCACGAATAGAGTAACCCAACTATTTATGGCAATGACAGCTGAGGGTAGGGTAATTAAACAGATTTCGATTTAACGACCAATGTGTGTCTCGTCTCCATTTATTTAGGCATCTCAACGCTATATCATATTAGCGCTAGGCAATAAAGTTTGAATGTTTTTACCGTCAACTAACTTTTTGTCAGTATTTTTCAAAATCTTAATTTTACAACTAATACGAAAAAAAAATTGTGCAGCAGCTGACATATCGCCTCCCTGGCCTGTGTAGCTAAGCATCCCTGGTCAATGTAGTTATGCATCCCTGGGCGTAGTTACGAATGCCCCTGCGCGAATGAGAAGACAAAGCAGGAATACGATAATGACAAAGTCAAAGGCAAAGCCAGAGTGAAAATTAGCGCAAAGTGCGAAGAATAGGTAGAATTTTCTATTGGTTTCGGTGTGTTGGCAAAATTACGCCAATTATTAAGCATACGCGCAATTGCATTCGTGAAATATTTATAATACAACAAATAAAATAGTGAAGCTGCTTATTAATCAAATTTAAAATGAATGAAGAATACGACGCAATTGTGCTGGGCACCGGCCTGAAGGAGTGCATATTGAGTGGTATGCTGTCTGTTTCAGGCAAGAAAGTTCTGCATATTGATCGCAATAAATACTATGGCGGTGAATCGGCCTCCATTACACCGCTGGAGGAGCTGTTCCAGCGCTATGGACTCGAAGCACCAGGTGAAAGATTCGGGCGTGGTCGCGATTGGAATGTGGACTTAATTCCCAAGTTTTTGATGGCTAATGGACAGTTGGTGAAACTGCTGATACACACGGGCGTCACCCGTTATTTGGAGTTCAAGTCGATTGAGGGCAGTTACGTCTATAAGGGTGGAAAAATTGCCAAAGTGCCGGTTGACCAAAAGGAAGCACTGGCATCTGATCTCATGGGTGAGTAAACCAAATTTGCAGGTGTATTAGGGAAAGCTTAATAAAAACTTGCAATCTGGGAACAACTTTAGTGGCAGCCTTTTCATACATATGAATGTATGTATACATATGTATAAATGCATGTGTGTGTGTATGTATTGTACATACAAATCTTGCTTTATCCCCTATTTCTCGCTTTTCTCCATGTTTCTTTGTCTCGGTTTTACACAGTCGGCGAGACTCGTTCTCGTTGTTGGCTGCCGATGTTGTTGTTGCCACTGTGACACGTATTTGCTGGGCATTCTTATAGGGTGCTTTTTAAAATGGCAACTCCTCAGCAACAGTCAATATGGAAACCATCAGTACAGTGTATTAGCCACTACAAAATCCTAGGCTAGCTATAGTAAATATTTCCGAATTTTATCTGAACTTTATGTTTCGTTAGGCGGACCAACCAACATTAAAATAAGCTTCATTGTAAATCTATAAATGTAGTAAAAAAAAACACCCTATAACAATTTGTGTAAGTGGAAAGCGCCGTCAGTTTATGTGGTTGCGTACCCAGGTTCTTTTGATAGACTGACTGCCTTGCGATCAGCTATCCTTGATGCAGTGCCTATAACGATAGTAGCGGGTTCAATGAACGCTTGGAAAGATTACAAAAGTTTAAACTGTTTTAACCTTATTTACAGCACAATAAACAACTATTTGTCATTGCATTAGGTGGCAACGCTGCATATTTAAAGAAATTAACTGGCGCTCTGATTCATTTTTCATGTCGGTATTTAACTAGTCATTGTTTAAGCAATTGCGATTTTCATTTGCTCTACCTCTTCGATTTACGTTCTATTTATGATTAATGCTTGGCTAACAGCAAAAATTTTACTTTTAAATTTTTGGTAGCGTTATTCGTTGCCAACTTTATTTGCTGGCCATAAAAGCGAACGTGCTGTACAGCCAATGAACCCTTTCACTTTAACTTTCATGTTGAACCATTTTATACAGAGTATGTGGCGAAATGACGTCATGGTGGAGCGAGGGTGCCTTTTCGAATTCATATTTAAGGTGGTGCTCCCTGTTAGTGGTTATATTTGCAGGCATAAATTAAATAATGCAAAATTTGACTGCAATCCATTCTGACGCACTTCAGTTACTGAATAGATACATATGTATGTATGTGGATGATGTGTCTGTAGGTTCTCCTTTTCCTGGAAAGGGCGATACCACTTTATTAACATTAACCATCTTACTTTCTGTTCACAGGCATGTTCGAGAAGAGACGCTTTCGTAACTTCCTTATTTATGTGCAGGACTTTAGAGAGGATGATCCCAAGACTTGGAAAGATTTCGATCCAACCAAATCGAATATGCAAGGACTATACGATAAGTTCGGTCTGGACAAGAATACGCAAGACTTTACAGGCCATGCGCTGGCGCTATTCCGAGACGATGAGTACTTGAACGAGCCGGCTGTTAATACAATACGACGCATCAAATTGTATTCTGATTCACTGGCAAGATATGGAAAATCGCCTTACCTGTATCCGATGTACGGCCTTGGCGAACTGCCACAAGGTTTTGCACGATTGTCAGCTATTTATGGTGGCACATATATGCTGGATAAGCCCATTGATGAGATTGTACTCGGCGAGGGCGGAAAAGTGGTAGGCGTGCGCTCCGGCGATGAAATCGCCAAATGCAAGCAGGTCTATTGCGACCCCAGCTATGTGACCGATAAGGTAAGTAAAATATACATTAAACGAGAGCTGTGCCTTGATAAAATATTACTATAATTGGTTTTTTTTTCAGGTGCGCAAGCGCGGCAAGGTCATTCGTTGCATTTGTATTTTGGATCATCCAATAGCCAGCACTAAGGATGCTCTCTCCACTCAAATTATCATTCCACAGAAGCAAGTTGGTCGGAAATCCGATATCTATGTATCCCTTGTCAGTTCTACTCATCAAGTCGCCTCCAAGGGATGGTTTGTTGGCATGGTTTCGACAACTGTGGAAACTGAGAATCCGGAAATCGAAATTAAGCCCGGATTGGACTTGCTCGAGCCTATTGCACAAAAGTTTGTCACCATTTCCGATTATTTGGAACCCATTGATGATGGAGCTGATTCGCAAATTTTTATTTCCGAATCTTATGATGCTACTACGCATTTTGAGACCACATGTCTGGATGTTTTGAACATTTTCAAGCGTGGCACAGGCGAGACTTTTGATTTCTCAAAAATCAAACACGAGCTAGGCGATGAGGAGCAGTAAGCAACAACAGCAGTAAAAGTTACAATGAGCAGATTGATCATGGGGATGTGTGTTAAACATCATTTAATTAACAACAATTACAATTAATGGCTTCTGTCATCATTACTGCATGTTGTTGATGCGACCGTGGCTAAAACCAAAAGCGTTATAAAACCGAATAACAGCAAACAAAAAATTAAATACGCGTAAAAAGCTCTTGAAATTTGATTAAGATGTGAAAAATGATAGAAAACATTTGCTTGCTCGATAGAAATTTATACAAACATATTTGGATATGCTTAGAAAATACACCTGTATACAAATATACAACCTAAAAAGCACTAGTAAGTATTATTGTTTGTATGTATTATGTGAAAACTTTGTGCAACGTAATCAAATCCACATAATATTGCTTAATTGCGGTTCAGACAGATCACTATATTTGTTAATCTTTTAAAGGTTTCATAAGTTTCTCAAAATACAATTTTTTTATGAATACATTTCCTTGCAATTTGCTTAATGTTTAAAGACGGCGGACAAGTTGTGAACGTGGCCTGTCTGAACGGCAAGAAAAGCACCTAGAAATCTATAAAGACAGCATGTTAAGCGAAAATTGAAATCATTGTAGCAGTCACCACACAATCAACGTAACCCAAATTATATGTTGTGTTTAGCCACGAAAACCTCTGCTCTATGTGCTTGAACTTAATTGTATGCGATAGATATACATATACATACATTTATACTACACTCTGATTAGTTTGCTTGATTTTGGTTTGTGATGAAAAAAATAAAAGTAAAAAAAATATATATCCGCATACATATATACATACCTAAACCGCATACATAACAAATTTATGATAATGCAAATAATATTTGTAATCCAAAATTAAGCTGAAAAATGACGAAAATGTAAACATCACGAAAAGTCTAGAAAACTTTGGATTTCTGCATTTTCAGATTTACATTTTTAATAAAAATAAAAACCCGAAATAAAAGAAGATTGTGTCGCCAAAGCCAATGAATGTTTATGGGTGAAACGTGAGTTTATAGTGAGATATTTTTCAGATGATGATTTCCTGACTTAATGGTCTTCAATAAGTTGAAGTACCAATACAGGATGCCAAATGTGAGTGATATCGATGGCAGCTAAATATATACAATTTGTAACTGTCTTGTCTGCCAATCTTGGGAGTTCGGAAAGCATCAATCTGGAAATAATCTGGTTCAAAAGCTCTCAACCCTGTTGTTTGGGTTCATTTTAATTTAGTTTTCAGCTCGTTTTTGTGACACCGGCTACTATTTAAGTTGATTTCTATCAAAATATTTTCAAAATCAAAAACATCGATGAATTGGTATTGTTTTAGAGATATCGTTCTTTGTATGGATTTGGGGCTTTAGTTAGGGCAACAAATAAGGGTTTATGTGTTTTGCCGCAAATAATGTGGACTCAATGAACATGAACTACTAAGTATACCCATGTCCATACGATCTAAGTATGCAAAAGACAATATTTTCACTTATTTTACATTTGGTAATCCGTGGCCACCATTAGTTGCCGATGAATTTAATTCTTAAATCATATCTGTGGCATACTTATGTATATAGAAGATGAACATCGCGAATTGGATTCGTCTCGTCATGAAGATCATAAATGTAAATACCAATCATATAGTATGTGATCTACGAAGCTTCCTTATGGGTGTTACAATCTAACAAATCAAAAATAATTGTAGACTTTTAAATAAAAGGAATAAACGGCGGGGAAACTCAATTTGTTGGCTCCTGCTAATTTTAATATGGCTGCATGCCACTTTGGAGAGACTGTATAATTCAGGGCATCAGTAGATTATACTGAGAGACTGCTGTGCATGATCGCGATGTCAGGCTGTGTTATGAGGAGTGCTGCGACGGAATACTGTCTATATTAGCTTATTAAATTGGTTTGAGAATTTCGTTGATAAGGATCTTAACCCATTTGCATATTTCTCTCCCACAGGTACAGATACTTTCAAACCTTATTTAAAATCTTAGCAAAAGGCAAAGATAAATTTTATTTTATTCACAGATTTTTAGGTATGCGATATAATTAAATTCAAAACGCCAGCACTAAGGATGCTTTAAGCCGAAACAGCTTGCAAAAATCAAAAAATCGGTTATATGAATAATAGTAAATTTCCCAGAGAAAGAATAAGAGTACAAAAATCTTACGCTCAAAGGAATTATAGTTTACGAGATATGTGCACCCTTTTTATACTCTGTACATGAAATGTACAAGAGTATATTAGGTTTGCGGGAGCTGAAAAATGTAACAGGCAGAAGGAGACGTGGCAGACCCCACAAAGTATATATATTATTGATCAGCGTGACAAGACGAGTCGATCTAGCCCTGTCTGTCTGTCCGTCTGTCCGTCCGTATGAACACCTGGATCTCAGAGACTATAAGAGATAGAGACACCAAATTTTCCACAAAGATGCGTTATGTGTGTATTCTATACGAGTTTGTATATATATTTTATTTTTGGGAATTCCCCCCCCCCCCACCCATTCCACCGCTACAGAATTTCGTCAATACTGTCCACATCTCAAAAGCTACATAAGCCAAACTTTGCAATTTATATACAGTTATCTACTTTTGGTTTAAATTTGATCCAATTCGGTCAATTCTAAGAAAAGTTATTAGCGAAACAAATTCTCTCATATAACTCAGTGACGGAAGTTCACCTGGGTACAGGGTATTACACTGTCGGGCTTGCTCGACTGTAGCGTTCTCTCTTGTTGAATTTACAAAAGCAGCCCCTATGGTATTGTATTACCCGTACTACTTGTAAGCTTTGGTGTCTCTATCTCTTATAGTCTCTGAGATCCAGGTGTTCATACGGACGGACAGACGGACAGACAGGGCTAGATCGACTCGTCTCGTCATGCTGATCAAGAATATATATACTTTGTGGGGTCTGCCACGCCTCCTTCTGCCTGTTACATTTTTCAGCTCCCGCAAACCTAATATACTCTTGTACATTTCATATACAGAGTATAAAAACGTTGAACAGCAAGGCAGCTATGTGGCTGGAATTTGAACTTGGAATTTTGAACTAAAATTTGGTAGTCACATCCAGTTAGTGAATATATATCCGTGTTATATCTAGATTTATTATGATTACCAGATTTAGATTAGATTTAGATTTATTATTATATTTAATCAACCTTAAAAAGAAAGTTATAGCCATATAGCAGCTGTATTTGTTGCTGCTTTGACATACATAATTATGTAATGCATACATACAAGTATGGAATATTTTACATATATTTAATTTAATTAATTAATTAAATTAAAAAAAAAAATTTTTTTTGTGGGGTGGTACAGGGTATTTAGAGTTGAGTCTGCTCGACTTTAGCATTCCTTTCTTGTTTTATTATTATTTGAATTATTGGACTTGCTGCTGACTATGTGGTGTAGAAATCTAGTAAAATAAGCTGTTATTGTAATATAAAAGAAATTATGAAAGAGGAGGAAATACTCGTACAAATATGGGGTCTTTTTATATTTTGTTTTATTCTTTTTTTTTTATAAAAAATTATTTACTTATTATTAAACTAGTATTCTGCTTCCAATATGTCAGCTTAAGCTAGGTAAAGATTAAAGAGAATACAAAAATTGTTTATATTTTAAATGATTTAAATGTTTATATTTATATATCTATAGGACACACTTCGATCTATGTAAGTATATATACTTACAATGGAATATTTACAATATTATTAGGTTCTTAGATTAAATACGGATACGCCTAGATCTTTTCCAATGACTAGGGAGCGTTGCATATTTTTCAGATATGGGGTATAAACAGACACGTTGCACTGTGCTGCACTGCCAACCTTTGTGCCTACTTGAAGGCGCTGCCTTCTGTTTCCCGTTTCATGTACTTATGTACTCTCAGCTCCACATGCTTCATCCTCGTGTGAGGCAGTTGCGGCGGTAACACCTTGTTGTTGTTATTGTTATTGTTTGCTGCTTCTTTTGCCAAGAGCTTGTCAACAACTTTATTATCGCAGGCAGAAGCTGTCCCCTTTGCCACCCCGCGTGCCACTACACAAGCAAATTTAAATCAATTAAGTAATCTTATTGCTGCTGCTGCTCTTTACATTTTAGTGTTGCCTACTTCTAGGCGTCACACCAGCACACAACATACATATGTGTGTATGTGTGTGTGCACACACATGTATGTCAAGCGTTATAACTGTGCAAATTTCTCAACTCGCATGTGGGCGTGTTTGTGTTGCGAAACTTTTGCTTTATTTCATATTTTGGGCTGATTAATTAAATTGCTCCAATAGGAAGGGGTCCTCTAAAGTGTTTTTGCATGTGTGTGTGTGAACTTTGCTCGCCAAAAATGAAGAAAGAATGGTGGGGAACGATCGTTAGATATTAAATTAAATTTAATTTTATTATGTACATAGATACATATAAATATGTAACAAAATGTTGAACCCATGGAGGGCAGCCTATGTAGTGGCAATAGCATAAGCGGATTGTATGAGCACTACACTACTTGTACTAATACTACACTACTAATATTATAACTAATCTCGAGATGATCGATTTGTATATTGAAAAGCATTGAAACACATCATTTTAGAATTTATATTCAGGGGGCCACAATGGTTAACAAATCCTAATACTATTCTGTTTGTCTAGACATTGCTCAAGCATTAGACAATGTCTGGCTAGACGGTATAAAATGCAAAATATTCTTCTATCACTCAAAATCTTAAATCACGCAGTTTAATTTATTGAACATTTAATCTAACAACTTACATGGTGCAATCACTGTGAAAAATTTGTTTAGAAACATAAAACATACAGTACACATTGGCTTATTAGCTCCCGCTCTTTGATAAAATTTTAATACAAGTATAAAGATCTAAATTTCGTATATAATAATATAATTCCACTACTAAGCCAATCTGGTCTAACGTCTTGCTGCTATTCAACGAGTCTCACTGAAAATCCTGGGAATCATTACCTGAAAGGTACAAGAGTATATTAGGTTTGTGCAAAGTGAAAAATGTAGAAGGTATAAGGAGTTATGGCAGACCCCACAAAGTATATATATTTTGAATCAGAATTCTATCAACTCTATTAAATTTTATCCGTCTGTTTGAACGAAAGGATCTCAGAAAGTATAGGATAAACAAACTTGGTATTGTCTGTCTGTCTACTATTGCTTTAGATTTGAAACTTTAGAATTATGTTTTTAATATACACCTGATTCTGTTTATACACGGTCTTTTTTAGACAGTTTTGATTCAACAGGGCTGGAAATTAAAATTGTTTATATATTGAGCACGATTTAAAATAACATATGATCAATGTATTTTTTACACGGTTTTTTTTTACCGACTTTAGGCGCATGTATGTAAGTATATTAAAAAGGTGTACCGTACTCATATTTATTAGGATTTGTATACCATTCTGCAAAGCTATGCAGGAATTCAGAAACAATTTTACTTATTTATTTATGTCAACAACTAAGAAGGAGAAATCTAATCAAATTACAATAATATCTAATTAACGCCTCCGACCCGGTGGGGGAATATTATTTGCCCTTCGGCTAGCTATTCCCCGTGTCACAGCCAAGTGTGATCAGAGGCGTCAAAAGATCTACCGGTATAAAAAAAAGAAAAACGTAACAGAGAGAAGCTTAGAATTTCTTAAAAGTTAATTTTCGAAAGATAAAAAAGTGAAGAAATAAAACAGAATCAAGAAATTGATTTAGTATTGCACTTGATATGGATCCCAAATTT